GTGAATTTATAAATTTTGAATTATATTTTCATTTCCAAATATAAAAATCAACATTATAAGGTGAATTTTTAAATTTTAAATTAAATTTTAATTAAATAAAATAATGTCGTTTAATATTGGAATTCTATTTTTTTTTTAATCGAGACTAATATATATTATCTAATTAACAATGCAGTGAGGGTATATTCTCTCTAAGAATAGTGCTATTGAGTGCTTCAACCTAAACTATTCTAATTACATTTTTTTTCTTATAAATTGACTCTAATTCTATTGCTTATTTCATTTGCATTGTTAATTTGTTGTACACTTTCTTTGTTATAATATTTTTTGCTTTCAGTCTATTCTTTTCCAACAATATAATACTAAAGAATATGAACAAGCGTATTCCATATAGAAACAAATGCTTCAAAAATAGCTAGCGTATCTCTCTTTGGGTTTCTTTGAGAATAATATCCATTTTCTTGGTACAACCACATGATTTTTATTGAAAACTAATAAAGACTGAATGAAGGAGGAAAAAGGGAAGTGAATGAAGGAGGAAAAAGGGAAGTGAATGAAGGAGGAAAAAGGGAAGTTGATAGCAGTAAAGTCAATAGTTGAGATTCAAAAGCTAATGAAACCCTTCTCCTTCAAGCATTCAACAATGTCCTTGAGACTCTCCTCCAAAGGAATGAAGTTGACACCCAAGCTCTTAATTTTCTCTTTGGATATTTGGAACACTTTTTGAATAAGCTTATCCTCAAATCAATAGAAATAACAAATCAGTTAGATTATAAAAACATAAGATGATATCTAATCTAGTACTATGACTATGAAAAATGAAATTGAAGTTCAACGTACTTTTCATTGAGGTGGAACACATGAAAAAGTCGATGCAAGATCCTCCACAACTTAGTAACATCTACAACGCTTTCAACCATGCAATATCTGCCAGTAGCTGAAGGAATCTCAAATGCTTGAATATGAGCATGTGCAACATCTCGAACATCCATAAAAACACCATATGATGCACTTCTCCCATCCTGCATACAAAACACTTTTCAATTGCTACCATTCCCCAAGATTACTGCAAATATATATATATATATATATATTGGTAATTAATTACCAGTGACGATGTTCAATATGAGCTCCACAATGAAATTAAGGGTTAGTTGTAGAATAGGACCAATCACAAATCCTGGATTTATTGTAATCAAATCAAGCCTGCTCTCCTTTGCAAACTTCCAAGCAGCCTTTTCAGCTAATGTCTTTGAAAGGACATACCAACTTTGATAATAATACACATATACTACTACTTTTAGCCATTTTTATACATTCAAAATTGATCTCTAATTCATATTGTATACATATATATATGAGATAAATGTGTATTAGTCCTGATTTTTAATAAAAATTAGAATTCAAGTGTTTCATTGTGTTACAAGTCAATGGAACCAAATTGTGTTGGTTTTGTTGATGCAGACTTTTCTGGAGATAAAGATAAAAGAAGATCAACTTCTGGTAATGTCTTTATCATGGCAGATGGTGATATTAGTTAGGAGTCTAAATTGCAATCGGTTGTAGCCTTATCAACAATAGAGGCAAAGTATATCTCTATCTTTTATGCTTGCAAAGAAGCTATCTAATTGGAGAGGTTGCTTGAAGAATTTAAAGTAAAGCAGGACACGCTTTCTATGCATTGTGATAGTCAAAGTGCTTTGCAATTTGCTAAGAATCCAACTTATCACTCTCACGCAAAGCAAATTGATGTTCGCTATCACTTTGTTTGACAATTAGTTGAAGATGGCAAGATACTTTTGCACAAGGTTCACACAGGTTCAAATCCAGTAGATACGTTAACAAAACTAGTGGCCTGTGACAAGTTCAATTGGTACAAGTCTTCCATTGGACTTGAAGAAGTTTGATTCCTTTTCATTTTCTGTTTGTTTTATTTCAAGAAATGTGTCTTCAAGTGGGAGATTGCTAAAGACCAAGTCAAATAAGTTTGTTAGCAGAGTCTTAATAAAGTGAAGCATACTAGATTCTTGTTATCTGATGAAGCCACATTTTTAGTAGAAGAGTTATAACAAACTTCTGCTTTTCTTTGTGCTTATGCTGTCTATAAATAAGGAGAATGACCCGTTGTACTGCATGTCAATTTCTCATTTTTCATCATATTTTGTTCTTAAAGTTGTTCAGCTTTCAACATTTAGCAGCAAAGTCATTTCAACTTTCAGTCACTATACTTTTATTCTTCAATTTACTATCTTTTAGTTCCTCTCTTGCTATATGCATAAACACCATTCTACACTTGATCAATTTTTAGGTTATCATCCCAAACTATAACATTAAAAAAAAAAAAAAATCTTTCTTTTATCTCCATTAAAACTTAAGATTGCTTTTACCTTTAAGCCTTGTTTATTTATAAATTGGTGTGAGCTTTGGATCAAGTAGTGATTTGGGGATTTCTTTGCTGCATTCCAAGTGATTTGACGGGGTGTCGTATATTGGGAGAGGAGCGCATTCATCAAGTTACCAATGCAATGGGGGTGTATTCTCTCTAAGGATAGCACTATTGTGTGCTTCAACCTAGACTATTCTAATTACCTTTTTTCTTATAAATTGATTCTAATTCTATTGTTTATTCATCTGTACTTATTTCATTTGCATTGTTAATTTGTTGTACACTTTCTTTGTTATAATATTTTTTTGGTTTCAAGCTGTTCTTTTCCAACAATATAACACTAAAGAATATGAACAAGCTTATTCCATATAGAAACAGATGCTTTAGAAATAGCAAGGGAATCTCCCTTTGGGTTTGTTTGAGAATAATATCCATTTTCTTGGTACAGCCATATGATTTTTATTGAACAACTAATAAAAACTGAATGAAGAGGGAAAAAGGGAAGTTGATAACAGTAAAGTCAATAGTTGAGATTCAAAAGCTAATGAAACCCTTCTCCTTCAAGCATTCAACAGTGTCCTTGAGACTCACCTCCAAGGGAATGAAGTTGACACCCAAACTCTTAATTTTCTCTTTGGATATTTGGAACACTTTCTGAATACGCTTATCCTCAAATCTATAGAAACATCAAATCAGTTAGATTATAAAAACATAAGATGATATTTGATCTAGTGTGATTGTGAAAAAAGAAATTAAAATTCAACTTACTTTTCATTGAGGCGAAACACAGGAAAAAGTCGATGCAAGATCTTCCACAACTCAGTGACGTCTACATTGCTTTCAACCATGCAGTATCTGCCAGTAGCTGAAAGAATCTCAAATGCTTGAATATGAGCATGTGCAACATCTCGAACATCCACAAATACACCATATGGGGGGAGTTGTCGTCCTGCACGCAAAACACTTTCAGCAAAGACTAGACTATATTATAAATGTAACAATTGCTACTATTCCCCAATATTATTGCAATTATAAATATATATATATTTATACTGGTAATTAATTACCAGTGATGATGTTTAATATGAGTTCCACAGTGAGATTAAGGGTTGGTTGTAGAATAGGACCAATCACATATGCTGGATTTATTGTAACCAAATCAAGCCTGTTCTCCTTGGCAAACTCCCAAGCACCCTTCTCAGCTAATGTCTTTGAAAGGAAATACCAAAGCTGGTAACAATACACATATATTACTATACGTTTAGCCATTTCTATATATTCAAAATTGATCTCTAATTCATATTGTATATATATATATATAT